GTGGAAACAGCACAACTGCAAGAATCGCTTTTGCACGACATCTACTCGAGTGCATGCTTTTGAACTGGGTCCCCCAGTGTGGACGCTGCTCGATGTGTAAAAAACCCAGCCGATGTGAGATAACCCGACCACCCAGTAATAGAGAATAGGACAATATGTTATATAATCTGGGGTATAGGCTTTAGGGGGGCAGAATGGAGTAATCAAACACGGAGGAAAATGAAACATAAAATGGAAACTAGTATTTAGAGTTTAGAGGTATTCCCCCAAAAGATTGAGAATCTAGCGAAAAAGAACATGGAGAAATGGAAAACTACCAGGTCCCTTGAAAGGTGCGCAGGTACAGCTGCGAACCTGCCTCACCGAGGCTGCCAGCTCCTGAATGCTTGGGGGTAGCCTGGGATGTCTTCCATGTCCACACGAAGAAAGTCAATATCAAGTGAGGACATGCCATCACAAAATACCAGCTGGTGCCTGCAAGATCAATGTATGCTCTGCTAGCAGTGAGCAAAGTCATTTTGAGTCGAGAGCGGCATGATTCGGCATGCGTACTCACATTTCAGAGCATCAACTAGGAAAGTTGCCAGCGGACCACGCTGAGCTTGAGGCTTCAAGCTGTCCCAAAGGCTGGGTTGTGAGCATGGTCCTTCTAACTCGTCTAATTGCTTGTAATCCATGATCATAATGCTGCTGCTGCCACTCAGTTCAGGATTGCAGGCACGTGGGCGTTTTGCGATTAGCTGATGGCGGGGACTTCCTTACGATGCTGAACTTAGATAAGATAGACTTAGCAACAAACAGCACCCGGAGACATCGGCCGGCTGGTGAAGGACAGCTTTGCGCTCACTCACTGGAACCGCTGGAAGAGTCCGTTGTAAAAGTCCTTCAGGGCCAGAGGACGGCTGTGCTGTCCAAACCTGCCCTGTTAATCTTCTTCCCTTAGATAAGTCAAGGATCAATGCCCTTGATGTCAAGCGGATCGAAGCCGAACTGCTCAGCAAGAAGTTGCTTGACGGCCCTGAGCTTCAGCTAGGCAGTCTGCATAGACGCTTATTAGGTTGGTTATACAGGAATGCTGTTATGCGCTGTTGCCATGGAACTGCTCTCCCCTGCTGACAGGGCTCGGAAGTTGAAGCGTCCGGGGGGGTGGGATGGATAGGTAGTCAACCAATGTCAACTTTTTCGTGGAGTTGTCGTGAAACGTGACAACCTGTTTGCAGAGCTGTGCCAAAAAACGCCTTTGCCGCGAGGCTTCGACGGCTGAGTGCATGACAAGATCTATCGATGACATGAGGCGGTCGCCCTCCATCTCATCCACGAAATAAGGATAATGGGCGGAGCTTGACATGTTCTTTTTTAGAACATACATCGCGCAGTTGTCCGGATTCCTCAGGCACAACTACAGCACCAATGTGAAAATGCCTCGTGAACCCGCAAAATTGACACGCTGCTCACATGTGGCTGGCTCTGAAAAGTGAAGCTGCCAGACCGTGTGGAAGGTGTTTGGCGACCAGTGAAATAGTTGCATCAGGATCAAGCGCATGGTCAGCCCATGCGTAACAACGATAATGGAACTTGCGCCGCTGTCTTCCATCAGGTGTCCTTGGCTCGCCAGCGACACTGGAAGGAAAAAGAAAGACTGGCACTAGAGAAAACACGTGCTAGCAAGTTTCTGCTCATCATCGAGTCCCACCACTGTCGCGTACGGTCATAGACATCCGCCCCGCTTTCGCCGGTTGGAAACCGATACCTGCAAGTAGCAGAACCGTGCAAACGTGTGAGCAAGCCACGCTAGTGACTGATCCCAGACCGGCTGCCAAAATCTTCGGATCTTAGTACTTTCTTCTCTCAGCCCGACGAAGTTGTCACCTGGCATCGCTGGCGGCATCTTAGCATGGTGCAGGCCAGTACAGCTGCTCAGCTGCCAATCTCCCCCTGCCTTGCAAGTTCCCAAATTCTTGCTCACGTATCCTGGGATCCACAGAGACATCCACAACCTGGTGAGGATCGAAAGCAGAGAAAATCATGTTTCTGGCCTCGGCTGCGAACCAAAGAAACTGGCATTGCAACACACCCCAGCTGACTCACAACCGTATGAAGCGCTTTAGCCCCTATGTGAGTGATAAAGGGTTATAATATGATACATATATATATACACCTTTTTACAACCATAGCCCCTCGTATGTTCAACATAAGCCAGCTTTGGACTGGCAACATTAACGCAGCACCATACCCAGAAAAAAACACATACAACACCTCTGACTGCGCTTCGCAGCCTTGCTGTATCATTGCTTGTCCAAGCTGCCGTTTGCAACGTTCGTTGGAAAGGAGAAACATAGAAGAAGACTTTCTCATCCTTACACCAATACTCTTGTCCATGGCGGCAGCTGCAGGCCACGACCAAAAGAAATTGCCAAGGTACACGCACGACCTGCTTGACGCGCTTACCCACGGCTTTTGCTTGTCTGCTCCCCAGCCTCAAGAAGGGCGGGGCGGGCTTTACAGGAAGTTGGCAGAGCCCTCAGCTTAGCTGCGGTGATGCGCTCAGCAATTACAATTGCCCTAGCTGCAGAGTAATAGCGACGGATTCCCGCCCGTAGCGTAAAATTAAGCGGAAATGCAAAAATTACCGACTTGCGTGGGATTTCGAGTCCAGTTAGAAAAGGCATGTTGAAGCATAGCCTAGTGTGTGATAGCTGTTTTGCTACACTCTAATAAGGCCCTAACTTCATATAGTCTTACTAAGGGTCTCATTGTTGAGTAGTTGCGAATACAACTCTAATTTGAACTAGTCGCATCTGAAATAAAATAGTCCCTAATAAGATCCAAATTTACGTGAAATAATCCGAAAAAACAATGCAATTTCAAACAGAACACAATTATGGTTTGGACATGGATGCTCTGGTCATCGTATGCTCTTGGAACGCGAACGGAATTGGTTTGGGCATGCATGCTCTGGTCATCGTATGCTTTTGGAGCACGAGCGGAATGATGGGAGGAAAAATCAGCCTAATGCAAAACAGAAAGCTGAAGCAGAGTTGGGCACACGAAGTCCCCACAACGTAGTCAGAGATTGCGCTATTTCTTGCGCGGTGCGTAGCAAGTAGCTCAGAACAACCTAGGCTATCCCAAGGAGACTAAGTCTCACCCCTTGAGCAGCCACGGCCGCGGTCAAAGACGGGCATCAGCACCAAGGCTTGGAAAACAACTTTGAACAGGTTTTTGGGACAGAAACTCACACCGGTCATTATTTCCAAGAACGGCTTTTGAACCGAAGCTCGGATCATGACCTCTGTGCAGGGAGCGGTCCCTGGGTGCAGGGCAGGTGCGTGCAGAAACACGGGCTTACTTGGGACTTAACCTAAGGCTTAATCCGGCAAGGCTTCTTAGGGTCGAGGATTAGCTTGCTTAAGCCGCCTAGGGTCCTAGGGAAGGTTGCTCTGGGCAACGTTTTGCCCTCGGCCACTCATTTGCATCAGCCTCGCCAGGCCATATCCTACGGTGCAGTGACTGCACGGTCGCATGGAGCGCACCAAGTGTGCGTTTGCCGTACGATGCTCTGCGCACTGAGGATCTGCATGCCAAACGTGACCACCCGAGGCGAAATGGGCATTAAGGTTCTCAGTCACATGATGAGCCAGGGGTATGCCAGCGTCAGTGTAGGGATTGACGTGCAAGGTGGGCTGACGGACCTGTGCAGGATCCGGACCTGAGCAACATGCCTTGAGGACTGCGCCCGGCGATCTGCAACCCGGGACTCAGTTTGTCCCCGCATCGCTGGTGTCCGGTGTAGAGGTTGGGACAGTGCCGTCAGAGGATGGTGCTTCTGCTTGAGAGCCTTGCTCCTGGTTCAGGGTGGTGGCCTGGGTCCCCTCCTCTCGAAGAACAGCACGTGCGGCTGGTGCAGCCCGAAGCAGTGGCGCAGCCAAGCACTTGAGAAGAAGAAGCCCCAACAAGAGAGTTGCGAGCATTAGGAAAACATCGTCAAAGGACGTCTCGTGCTCGGGCTGAGCCTGTGCAGGGGTCACCGAAGAGACAGTCGTTGCGAAGAAGACTGCGGCGGAAGCTTGTGGTGTCGACAGAGCAAACTCAGTGGCCGAGGCAAAACGGCGTTGTGGGTCCTTGATAGGACATGTCGTCCACCAGACGATTGCGATGGGTTCGCAATCTGTCCGCCAGCAGCTGCGCCGCTGACTCTTTGGTGAGGCCATCAGCAAACGGTCTCCCCACTTGGATACAGCTCCGCGACCAACTTGAGGAAAAATTAGCTTAATGCAAGACAGAAAGCTGAAGCAGAGTTGGGCACACAAAGTCCCTACAATGCAGTCAGAGATCGCGCTGTTTCTTGCGCAGTGCGTAGCAAGTAGCTCAGAACAACCTAGGCTATCCCAAGGAGACTAAGTCTCACCCCTTGAGCAGCCACGGCCGCGGTCAAAGACGGGCATCAGCACCAAGGCTTGGAAAACAACTTTGAACAGGGTTTTTGGGACAGAAACTCACAGTTTGGGCATGGATGCTTTGGTCATACGAACGGAATTATGGTTTGGGCATGCATGCTCTGGTCATCGTATGCTCTTGGAGCAGGAACGGATTGATGGTTTGGGCATGGTTGCTCTGGTCATCGTATGCTTTTGGAACACGAACGGATTGATGCTTTGGGCATGGTTGCTCTGGTCATCGTATGCTTTTGGAACACGAACGGAATTATGGTTTGGGCATGGATGCTCTGGTCATCGTATACTTTTGGAACACGCACGGAATTTTGGTTGGGGCATGGATGCTCTATGCTTTCGGCATGGATGCTCACTGCTGCCACCGCTCCTGCTGCTAGTGAGTGACTGACTAGCGCTACTGCTACTGCTGCCACTGCGAGTTCAGCCAATCCTTTTGTTTCATTCGCCCAGTTGGCTCGAGAGTAGTTGGCCTGCGGCAAATTCCCGCCCGTGGACTTTTTCGGTGTTCAAAGAGCCTAAGGTCACCGCTGTACTGTAATAGTTGATTACTTGAAAGTTTTGCCTATGAACCAAGGTCTCGCTCGCTGAGCCGCTCGAATATACAAGACGTGTTAAACCAGAAACTTTGCTTAGGCGTTGAAGCGAGCGATAAAGTTGAAGGCGGCACTGACGAAAGCTGGAATTTCATGTACGGTTCATACGTGCAGGAAAGCCAACCATGCTCTGTTGGCTCCGCGACTGCGACTGTTTGCCCAACACACTGAGAAGGGTCCGTCCTGCCCCCTGCCTAGTGATGAATGATCAATGGTCCGAAGAATCATGCAATACATACTAGGGGGTATTCCTTGAAGGGCTTGTATGGAAGCTGCCTGAATTGCTAAGTACTAATGAAAGCAATCACATGAGGGGGGCATCACAGAGATACCTATTTCCGGTCATGTAGACAATTAGATTTTGGGAGGCCTGTGTCATCTTTATGAACCAAATCACCTTCTTTTCAAGTAGTCAGTGAGATTGCTCACTCCAATTGAAGTTTGCAGAGTGTTGCTATCATTTTTTGCGTTTCTCAAAACCGATAACAAGAACAGAATAGTCGCAAAACAAAGCAGCCTTTAATCATTGAGTTCCTCTTGGATTGCTTGTAAACTGTTGTATTCACATTCCTGGCACGCGGCCTTGAACAGTGAAAGAGTAGAACACCAGTGAAGCGCTGGTTCTCAGCCACATTCTTTTCTTGTTCTTTTACCATTTTCAACTCCCAATCTACTGTGAAAACTCATGCAACCATTGTTTTTTTTAGGAAACCGCGAGCAGGCAGGATTCCGCATAGAGACCCAATACTCCCTCATAACCCCTACTTCAGCATTCATATCCGTCTAGCCCAAAACTTGTTCAAGCAGTCCTGCCCTCTGAACGTACTTCCAGAATTTAAGTATTTCCAAATTTCAGCCATCGACGTACCGAAAAAATCAAAGGACCGCAGAACCCCACATGTGTAGTTTCACCTGAACTTGAATGACATGATATTAGGATGCCGTCGCCGGCCGAAATGAAGAAGAACAAGAAAACCAGACGAAAACCGGGAAATGATTCGCTGAAAAGTCTTAGGGGGGCACCCCTTGAGACTTCAGATTTGTGGACTTGATTCGCTGAGAAATCTGAGGGGGACACCCCTTGCAATTTGAGATTTGGGGATTTGATTTCCTGAAAAATGCTAAGGAGACACCCCTTGCGATTTGAGATTTTGGGCATTTGATTCTCTGAAAAATCTTAAGGGGACACCCCTTGCGATTTGAAATTTTGGGCATTGATTATCTGAAAATGTTAAGATGCCACCCCTTGCGATTGGAGATTTGGGGACTTGATTATCAGAAAAAAGATCTTCGGGGACACACCTTGCGATTTGAGATTAGGGAAGATGAATCTCTGAAAAATCTTAGGGGGCACCCCTTGCGATTTGAAATTTGGGGACGTGATTCTCTGAAAAAAAATCGGGCGACACCCCATGCGATTTGAGATTCAAGGACTTGATCTTCCCAGAAAATCTTAGGGAGACACCCCTTGCGATTGGAGATCTGGGGACTTGATTCTCTGAAAAATCTTAGGGAGACACCCCTTGCGATTTGAGATTTGGGGAAATGTTTCTCTGAAAACACCTTAGGGAGACACTGCTTGCGATTTGAATTTGGGGATTTGATTAACTCAAAAAATCTTCGGGGACCCCCCTTGCGATTTGACCTTATATGGGCTGATGCTGTCATCAAGGAAGTTTTTGGGGACAATCAGAACGGCGAAGTTGAAAATCGTCATGTAAATTTTTGATATATATATATATATGATGTTGATGTCGGTGATCTTCGCCCTTGATATGCGAAACCACCCACGGAGATCCGGACGGAGAAGCCACACCTTAGATGCCCCCCCCCC